GCTTCAACACCCACATCCCACGCACCACGTCCACACCCAAACCGATTGCATAAGTCAACTGGAAGCCTTCATGATGCCTAGTATAACCAGCGCAAAGAGGGCTGAGCGCAAGTTGCAGGGGCTATGTGCATACAACCTTTCTTGTCAGTACGCACCTGAAGCGGAGCACGCGAACTGTGAAATACATCGTTTGCACCGGAAGAGGCAGCAATCGGCCAGACGCGCACAGAAAAGGGTCCACCAGAGATCGGAGGGCGTTCCTGATACCACAAGTCCGCCTATGAACGCAAACGTCCACCCTCGGCCAACGCTCATGCCAGTCCCGCGTGCACCGTCTCTACAAGCACCTACACCGTCATGGGACAAGGTAGTATGGGTTTCCTTCCCTGACAGAAGGCCGCTTGACCAGACCGCCACCCTTGCTATTCAGTACTTTCCTGACGATCACGAAAGCCTTGGTCACGATGCCTGGCTAGCAGAGGCTCGTGTGCTAGATCTGCGCAATACAGTTATCGATGCAGAGGATGGCGGCTGTTATGTGCACCAGGGCCTGGTTACCATGTTAGCCGTCAAGTCGCGGAACCAGATTGCCGTCGACGCCTACACGTGGGATTGGCTGACCCGTCGACTTCGGGAGAGTTTCTTGTCCAGCTCCTGCCGAGGTGAGAACGGAGAGGCGCTACGCACTGTTTTGTTCTTGCACTGGACCACCGACGAGCCCACAAACCCTACCCTTGACTCAGTTTACAGTGCAGTACGATTGCTGAAGCATATTCACGGAACGGCATTTCGGGCCTACCCGAACGAGAGTGAGGCGTGGCAAGAGAGAGCCAAACTGGGCGACATCCGAGCTTTAGATGATATCGCCCGCTCATCTCCGCCCGAGTTTTCGTATCGACCGAAGACGTGTTTCGGACACGGTCCGTGTGCGCTCCAAGAGGATAGCATCACCGTTCATAAGAGAACCCATAGTGCCTGCGCTACGCGCGTACATATTCGAAAGCAGAGAGACAGGCAACAGCTTACATGCAAAGTGGAGATGCCTGCGTCGAAGCTGCCGTCGAAGCAGAGGAGTGGCAGAAAGAGTATGCTAGCGAAGACGAACAAGTCATCAGAAGATCCCACACACGATGCGACATCTAGTGGTCAAACGCACTGGTTCCACCAAGAGTTCGTTCCGGCCTTGCGAGACTATGAATTCAGAGTTTTCGTTGTCACCGAACGCAATGAACAGGGTATTCGAGGCCGAAGCGGGCGGATTGTCGCTATCGCGAAGACGGCCTTCAACCAAGAGACCCAGACACTTGCATCCCGAGAGTTGCTGCCGGAGGACCTGGAGCCTTCGTTAACACGATCTCATCTCGAGCAGTTTTGTATTTGGGTCTTTGAAAGTCTTCGAGCGCGCACTGACAGTATGACGTTCTTCGAGTCACTCGAGGTTGGCACTCGCCTCGACATCGGCGTCGCAGAAGACGGGATGGGGGGAAAACGGCTCTTCGTGAATGAGATTACGCGATGGTATGGAGCCCACTACTTCTCTCACAACATATGCTCGGAGCCTAAGACCCAGATCTGCAAGGCATTTGCTCATGCCTTTGGCGAACTTCTTCAGAGCGGCATGGGAGACGTCTTCTGACGGGACAACTGGAGACTGGGCGATCTGCACTCAGCAACCTATCGAGTTTGCGTAAGTTGACGGAAGGTGCTACTACAGGAGAGCTTCAGGCTGGATCACCTGCAGGGGCCTCGGATGATGCTCAGAATTGCATAGTATCAACCACCTGGTTCGACTTTGTGCTCCACCTCTGCTAGCTCCCGACTGTAAGGGGCTACGCTCGAGAGGCTGTCGCCAGGCGCACCCAGCGTTGTATCCGATGGAGGAAACGAACTACGGGTGTTCGGACTGAGCTTGGATCAGAACAACAATCCTACATGTTCTCGCCATGCTCAACGGTGGAGCCCAAGTGTCATGCAAATGAACATGAGGACTCCTAGCCCAAACCTCATCGAGAGAAGGACTAGCCAGGCTACAGCCCATCAGTTCAACTAGAGTGGTACTGGTTATACGATTGTTATAAGCATCCTAGCCAACAGTCTCCTGCACATCTAGGTAGCCGGGGCACGCATTCGTCGACTAGCTGAACTCGGTGGTAGAGTAATGCTGCAGGCATCAGCCTCTTCTTCGTACGAAGCGTAGCGGTATGCTTCTTTCTAGTTCAATGCAGTAGATATCGTGGCTGTTTTACTTTGACGACGACGCCTGGTACTCAAAGTTCATCATTACATCTAATCTCGACAGTCTGTACGACAAGACTCCTCAGTGTCGGCGAGAGGCACACAGCTTCTGGACTTCATTAGATCCGTTGTTGCCAACGGGTTGAACGGCATTGGCTTTGACACAAAGAAACATAAGACAGCGGCCAACGAGTGGTCTCCATGTCATGGGTTTGACCAAGAGGATCACAAACTCGTCTCCCATCGACGGCCGACAAAGACACCATGAAGACAGTCCACGTAGATGAGCTACTATACAAATTCATTGCCAGAGTAGGCGGCATCCCATGACCTATGACACTAGCGAAACCGACATTTCGGTAATCCTATTGCCTTTTCCTTCCATCGTTGTCTGACTTCCGGTCCACAGCGCCTGCCAGTTCGCAATGTGCAGGTCGAATTGCCTTTCTCTTCGCCCGCACTGCCGGCTCATTCAACATAGCATCAATTTCGTACCCGCTGGTAGACCGAATGCGCTGTGAAAGTCCATGGAACTACGTCGAAGCGTATCCTGTGTACTGTCACAGCATGCCTTCTTTGCCACACGTGATGGGGCTTCTCTGCGCTGTTGCTTGTCCTGCAGCCTCTGGCTCTACTGGTTAGGATCACATTCAGAAGTAGACTGTGAATAATCCAGCAGAGAAGCCGCTAACGATTCTTTTGGCTGCTCGCAGTCATGTCGGCTTCAGGAACGGCATTCCGTTACGTGAAACTACCCAGCCAGGTTGTTGAAACCCTCTCACATGCTGGGCAAGTGTATGGCGTATAATGTCTGGATTTCGGCCTCGTTCTTGTTTCAAAATCCTTCTTTGCACTGCTCAGAGATCGTCGGCAAGGTAGTCTCACCGAGGTAGTCCCTCGCGAATCCTCTCGTACGCTCGCGCGAAGAGGGAGGTCTCGCTGGAGGCTGCCACATACATCT